CTGGAGCACACACCAGGATTGGGGACAATCTCCCATCCCTGGAGCACTCATGGGGACATCCTGCCAGCCCTGGAGCACACATGGGGACATCCTGCCAGCCCTGGAGAACACATTCCTGAACTGGGGACATCCTCCCATCCATGGAGCACACCCCAGGACTGGGGACATCCTCCCATCCCTGGAGGACACATGGGGACATCCTCCCAGCCCTGGAGGACACATGGGGACATCCCCCCAGCCCTGGAGCACATTCCTGCACTGGGGACATCCTCCCATCCATGGAGAACACCCCAGGATTGGGGACATCCTGCCAGCCCTGGAGCACACATGGGGACATCCCCCCAGCCCTGGAGAACACATTCCTGAACTGGGGACATCCTCCCATCCCTGGAGCACAGATGGGGGCATCCTGCCAGCCTTGGAGCACACCCCAGGATTGGGGACATCCTGCCAGCCCTGGAGCCCAGCCATCACTGGGGTATTTGGAGCTGACTCTGGACACACGTGCCCACGAACAGCCACTGCTGTGCCTCTCAATGAGCCCAATTTTCCAGCCTGGATTGGCTGAACCAGGAGGAGAATAAAGCAGAATAAAGCAAATTTGTACCTGTGAGGGCTGTGCTGGCCCTGGAGGGCAAGGGATGACAAACAGAGCAATGAGCAGATTGTTTCCATCCCTAAAATGCTGCTGCATGTGGGAAATCATCTTGCTTGCCCCCGTGCAGCTAACCTGCAATTCTGGCTGATAACTTTTAAAGTTATTGATATTCCTTACACTTTGAATCATTATTTTTTTACTTCAACGTGCTTCTCCTGCTGGCAGGTGGGAGAAATTTAGGAAATACTGACGTGTTCTGACCCACTTAGAACAAGGAGACCGGTGGTGGGTAATTTCCTTTGTATTCCCTTCTTTTGTACTTTTCACTTTGGTATGACTCTTTTAAAAATATTGTGGTGTCATCTGGGCTTTAGTCTGAGCATAAAGCCAAGCTAGGAGGCTTTCTTGATAAAATAAATGCAATTATTTTATCCCTTTTTGTGCCTATGGCAACTTTGAACTCGAATTTGTCCTTTTTCTCGAAACGTTAAGGAGCCTGGCTGAAAGTTTTTAGTGAGTTGTCAGTTCTCAAGCATTTTCAAACTGTCTTTCCTATGAAATAGTAAAACCATGTAGGAGTAAATAATTAGTTCATAAATTTGTGAAGAAAACTAGGAAGATCAGTTGCCTGTAGAACAGAATTGCTTTTACTTTCTTGCTACAGTTGTTTCTTTATGCTGAATTGTAGCTGTAATGTATTGTAGCTGTAGAGTGGGCTGGAGTGTTGCCTGAGATAGGGAGAAGAGCTTTTATTTAATTATAAAATACCCTTGTAACACTTGTAATCATCATAAACACATTACCCTAAATGACTAGGCACCATTTTCTGCTCTGAAGAATTTAGTCCAGGACTGAATATATGCTTGATTCTATCACTCGAGTAATTATAAATCCTAGAAATGAAGGAAGAATCAGATTACATCCAAATTCCTTCCTCAGTCGTGCCTTAAGTGCAAGCTTTTTAGTCCAGACTAAGTTCTGATTATGCAAACTTTATTATAATTAAGAGCAGGTCAGAATGTCACTGACCTTTTCTGCTAAATGGTTGGAACAAAGGAGGAGAGGTGGAAAACAGCTGCCTGCTTATTTGCACTGGAGCTCCAATGGAATTCAATGTTTCTTCAAACCCTTCTTTAATGAACAGAAACTTTATCTCCGAATTTTAGTGCCAGATCCAGTAAATGCACAAACATCAGGTGATGGAAATATTTGTTCTTGGACCATTTGAAATGCTTAAATGTGCTCATGTCCATCCCTATTCAAGACATTTTTTTAAAGTCTGTGGTTTCCTTAAGGCACAAGCCTCACTCAGTTACTTTTATTGAAGAATTGCCTAAATAACAATCCTTTCTTAAATTCAGGTTAGCACTGTTATAAATAACTCCTTCACCAGACTGTGCTCATGAACAAGCTGTATTCATTACATCAATCACTAACCTTTTTTTATTATTTTTAATTTCATTCTACTTGTCCCAAACCAAATATTTCTGATCACAGCAAAAGAATATTTCAGTTTTGGGCCAGCTGCACCACTGCTGACTGACTCATCATCTGCATACACTGAAATACCTGAGGTTTTTAGATCTGCAGGGCAGAATTCTCAACACACATCAGAATCTTTGAGCTTTGCTCCATTAAATGGCAAAACAACCAAGTGATGTCACCAATAAGAGGTGAAGCACCAAGAAACATTGTACTGGAGTTTGATAACATGGAAGAGGAAAAAAGTTTATGCTCTCAAAGCATGAAGGAAGTGTGACAAAAGACACTACTGCTGGCCATTGTTATATTTTTCTCTGTTTTACTCAGTTCCAACTGAGTGATGGGCTGGATGGAGACTGCAGCCCAAATCTCATCATATAAATTAGGGCAGCCCATCATTTTATGACTGCATTACCTGGGGACACAAAAACAGGGTTTGGCCCCAGTGTCAAACACAATAGTAAGGGCAGATGCACAGTAGATTATTTAGTTTAAAAAAAAAAAAAAAAAAAAAGAGAAAAAAAGAAAAAAGAAAACAGTCTTTTGGAGTCTCTATAGAGTTTGAGTGTATATAGATTTTCTAAGCATCCAATTTAACTGAAGATTTGGAGGTGAAGATAAACCTTGTGCAGGCAGGTAAGCAAACAGTGATGATGTTTCAGCTGTGGGTAGTTCCTATAAACAGCTTTAGAGTGACTTATAGGCTTTGTAAAAGGACTTTAAAGAGGATGTAAATGGAAATGATTGTAAATTATGCTCACTCATTTTCAGGCACACAGTAAAAACCAGGACCACAGCATTGTTGTAGGGTGACTGATGTTTTCCTGTAAAAGTAATCAATTTGATAAGAGCTTCCCATATTTCATTTCCATTTTATTTGCTGGTGCTCCTTGGGATTTGCAGAGATGAGGAGAAAGCTCCCACGAGGCTGTGTGTGGGTACACAAGGTTGGGAACAAAGTGCTCCCAGGGCGTGTGGGTGCCTGCATCTCCCAGCACTGCTGAGTTGTGGGGCAGAGAATCCAGCAGAGCCGAAATGGGCAGGGTTCAAAGTGCCCTCTGTTCCACTGTCCTTTGCTGAAGTGATCACAGCTTTCTCTGCTTCCTTTCTTTCCTGCTGATTCTCCATCCTGTTAAAGTATAACAGGAGCATGGGTGTTCTCTGACCCCAAATCTACTCCAGCACAGCTGAAAAGAAAGCTGAAAGCAGAGGGGAGGCTGCTTTTCTTTCCATGGAAATTAAATCTGCTTGAGATCTGGCTGTGTTTCACAAACTGCAGAGTGCTTTTTCTAGTGAGTGTCTGATGGAGAGCAGCAGACAAATTCTGCCTCTCTGCACTAGTGCAGGGCTGTGCCAGCCCCCCAGGGCCACTCCAGTATTTCATTTAACTTGTATCCCAGTGCAAGTAAAGGTGGAATTTGTCCCTTTGGAGTTAAATGGCTGGGAAAAAGGTTTGTGAGCTCTAGCCAGGCTGACCACACGTACCAGTCTGCTCCTGCTTGGGTTAATGTGCTGAGTGACCTGCAAAAATATCAGAGTTACCTGTTGAAGATCACTGTGTGAGGTAAGAATGGTTAGACAAATGATAGGAGGATTTCCTAAGAAGCCTCAAGTGTGCATGATTTTAGGGAATTTCCATTTGTTGATTTAAAGAATCCCAAGGGGAAAAGGGTGAGTGAGTGCTTGTGGTCATGCTCCTTTCTGCCAGGACCATCCCTGGCTCCCTGGGATTCCCACCCACAGCCACTTCTGTGTGACAAAAGCTGCTGGCTTAGAAATGGACTCTGTCCACCCTAAAGCAGCTCATACATTTCTTCAATGCCCTGATAGACCTGCTTCTAGGTAGCAAAATTAAATTCTATTTATTTTGTGCTTGGGTGCTCTGTGTTTCAGTCACAGCTGATGGAGGTCTCACAGATTTGGGAATCGCCTGAAAGCTCAGTGTGGTTTTTGGAGGTCTGCTGGAAAAGGGGGAACTTAATAAGGCACTTAGACATTTTCTGGTGAAAATCTAAGTGGTGGAGTCCTGCAGGAGGCAGATTAGCACAGGTCAGGGGGAAACTGCTGTCTTGTAAATAACTGTGCAAAATGCTGACCTCCACAATCACCCAGGACACATCCACCCCTTGGTTTTGAATCACCTTGCCCTGTTCAGCCTGCTGCATCTGCTCCTGCCACACCACCTGCTCCATTCAGTTCTTGCATTCCAGCCTTGCTGCTTCCCCCAGGCTTCAGTAGCTGTTGGGAAAAGCCAGGGAAGCTTTTGCCATCAGCTGTGGCACCAGCAGGCTCCATGCCTGTCCTCTGCATGCCTCTTGTTAAATTCTGCATTATTCCACTCCTGTGCTTAAACCAAATGTCTTTTTTTTTTTTTTCTTCAGCCTTCTCTCCTTTAGAATGAGATTTTGGAATTATTGCCTCAAACAATCTTTGCACCTCCTATTTACAAACCTCTTGGCTCCTGCATTTCCATTTATTGCAGAAAGAGTAGGTGGAGAGGAAGCAGAAAGAATGCCGTGCTGCTCAGCGTGGAATTTTTTATTTCTCTTTCAAGTCAGTTTGTGTATCTTTATTTCCACCTCCTGCCTACTTCTCTCAAGATCTTTGAACTCATAGGGCCACTTAAGTTTCTCCCAGCTTTATTTTCATGCTGTCAAATAAAGGCTGGGCTGCCAAAAATATGCTGTCAACCCTGGAGATTTCCTGCACTTGGGACTTGTGCTGGAAGAGGGAGGGAAGGGAATAACTCTGCTGTTTCAGGCTGCTGGCAGCTGGGGCAGGTGTATGGGCTTTCCCCTGTAAGCCTGTAAGGTGTATTGGCAGTCCACTGCTAATAACTGAAGGATCTGTCATTCAATTCAAGGCAAACAATTATGTTGTTTTTTTTTTTTTTCTTTTCGTCTTCTTTTTCTGGTGTGTTTTTTTTTTCTTTCTTTTTTTTTTTCCCTGATTTTTCTTTTAAAGAAAATATCAGTGTAGGAGGAAAAAAGTCCAAACAGTAGAGTGAAAAATGAAAGGCAACTGTTAAAATAAATCTGGATTTCTAAATCTTATCTCTGCAATGAACATACACATCTGTTCCTCTGTCTGCTGTAACCACATGTTAACTCCTCACTAGCTGCTTTTGTCACTACCCTGTTCCTTTTCTTTTTTCCTTGCAGAAAATTCTGCTACATCTTGTCAAATTGAAACAACACAAATACTACACGAAGTACATCTGGCTGATAAAAGACACGTTATTTTCCACTGACTGGAAAAAAACAATGGTGACATTTTAATGCTGGAATCTGAAAAGTCTCTTGTCCTACCCATTCATTACAGTGTCAGTCCAAGTAACATCAGCAGGAATGTAACAATTCTAACCATCTTAAAGAGTGGCCATTCTGAAATATGGCTTTATGAAAAGCTAATAAAATGCAATTACTGTCCAGCTTTGATTCAGAGTCATAAGAGTCCATTTAAGAATTCACATTTTTATTACCTTGCAAAATACTGAAATCTGGGGATTTGGTTTATTGTTTTAATTCTCTCCAGCTGAATGTAACTACCTGTTATATATGTTCACTCGAGCAGCACAGGTCAGTACATAAAAATAAAAGTTATAGCAGTACATAAGGTGGATTACTCTTTTAAACGGGATGGTGAAATATGAGCATGCCTTTCACTCCCTGTGGGTTTCTGGTAGGATTTAACAGTGACTGGAGCTTTTCAGCACGGGTGTCCATTAAGCTGCCACGGGAGGGAGGTTTGCACAATTCCTGAGCCCCAGGGAGGGAGGCACACACGGCTCAGGCTGTGGGGTCAAGGCCAGGTTTCCCAGCAAACACAGAGGTGTCCTGCCTGCATTTCACACACGGGCTGCTCTGACAAAGCATTTACTGATGCAAATCCTGAGCAAGATGGAGCAAGAGCACAAATCTCAGGCCCCCACTGCTGTCTGGGAGGGTGTGACAGAAAGGGCCAGCGAGGCACCAGTGCAGCATCCCTGAGACTGTGCTAAAGACAGTTTTAAAAGACAACTTTTGTTTTAGAAGGCAACTGTCTTCTAAAATCCACTCAGGGGAATGATTCTGAGCCCCTGAGCCCCTCCAGCAGCCTTTCCAAAGTGAGCATCAGGAGCATAAAAGTGTGAAAAACTCCAGCTGCAGAGCACACCAGGAAAAGCAAGATTCCAGCTCTGCTTCTGGCAATAGGAAGGGGAAGGAAGACATTCCTGGAGCCCACTAAAGAGCAAGAAGAACCACTAGACTGGACAAACTGTCCTCCAAATGAACCCACTCCAGCCCCATAGCCCAAATCAAACCTCACAACAGCGAGGACATTGGTGCAGGCAGAGCCTTCCTCCAATAAACCTGGGAACCATCATCCTCCCAGGGCTGGGCAGGACTCACTCCCTGCCTTCCAGCTCATGGGCAGAGGGGGAAAATCCCTTTATTTTTATTATAAAAATGACCTGCCAGCTTCTTGGAGGGAATGAACACAGGGAACAGAGTTGACATTACACATTACCCACAGGGTTTGTGTTCTCTTTCAGAATGAGCTTGTACTCAGCTTCTTCCTCAATTGGTCCAAAAATACCTTGGCAGAAGATTCATCATCTCTGACCTCAGGTATGGGGATTACCAATGTTATTTCTCTTCTAAGAAATTATAATCTTTGATGATATTATGCAAAAGTGTTCAGATGGTTTGGGGTTTTTTAGTATACAAGGATACCAAAAAATAATTCCTGATTTCTTAAGAGCTTTGAAAATGTGTTACTAATGCCACCTGTAAATTTCCTTCTCTCTCTCGGATTCCTTTCAGCCTTGCTTCATTTCTTTTTGAATAAGCATGCTAATATGCAAACCAAAAGTTTATTTACACAAACTGTGGCGAGTTTCTTGTTTTACAAAACAAAATATTCAAAGATTTTGGAGGAAAGGATGTGAGCCATGACAAAGCACAATGTGTGCTTGCACAGGCAAAGAAAATCAGGGGTGACTTCTAAAGTAATGAGTGGAGCAAGTAAATAACAGAACATTATGTTAATGCTTGGGCATACATTATTAATGACTGTGGTAATTCACTTCTTGCTAAATGAGATGCTGCACTGTTCCCTTAGCCTATCTAAATACTTAACCCATTTTCCTCTACTGTCCAGCTCCTAATTTAATCTAATTTCTGACATTACAGCATTAAGATCCAAAGCATAAACCATAAAAAGTAAACTCGGAATGTTTATTGTCTTCCACTGCCTTCGTCCTGCACTGATAATAATCTTCTGTACTCAGATTTTAGGCAAAAATCAAACCTCATAAAGGAAGTGTGCAGCTGCACTCTGCACCACAACAATTCAGCTGGTTGTTATGTGCTCCAAGTGATAGGAGAGTTTCCAAGATCATCAGTTTTCCACATTTCAGACAGGATTGGATCTCTGCATATTTCGTTTGCATGTCCATTAAGTTAATTTAATCCCTCTGCAGACAGAGGTTTCATTATCTCTTTTGCTGGGACCATTTTTTTTTTAAATCCATCAGAACAAAATAAATCCCATTCTGGCTTCTCAGCCTTTGCAAGATTCCCCCTGTGTGGAGTTTATTTGATTAGGGCATGCCATTATCATATTAAACCCATTATGAATATTGGAAATTACGAATGGCTGCTCTAACTTTTACAGAGGATCAAGGAGATAATGCAAAGATGCCCTGGGTGTTAGGAACGTGCAATCCATGGGCTGCATCTCTCTGTAGGTGTCTTTGAGCAAAGATGCAGATGTCAGAGTGAGCACTTAAAACCCCAGAATAATTTTGATGTGTCACTGATTTTCAGCTGCCTAATTATTACAGAGAACCTGGATGTAAAAGCTTTATGCGAAATCACAAAGTGAATCTAGAATAAAATTGAGAAATAACTTGCAACATCATAATTCCTGCAGTGGTGCCCTGAGCCAGTCCAATCTGAAGGATGAGCCATCTATTTTTGTTGTCAGTGACAGCAAAATCGAGGAAGGGGTTGGAGCAGCAGAGGCAGGAACGTGTTCAGAGGGTGTTTGATGAAAGCTGTGTGCCAGCTCACCCCTGGGTACTTTGTGCTGCTGAGGGTCACAGTGTGCCTGGGGACATCAGTGTGTCTGTGACCTGGAGCACTGAGCTCACAGGGGAATTCGGGTTTTTTTGTTTTTTTTTTCCTCTTCAAGAACTCTGCCTTTTAAAGTTTGGATGCTTCACTTCTAGACTTAGGGCAAAACCTTTGCTTAACACAGGGGAAAGCAGCAAAATAAACCCAAACCACAGACCAAAGCAGCTCTTTTTAGCCTAGAAAATGGATCCCTGTCATTCACTGCTGCAGCAGCAGCAGCACACAGGGTGCAAACACGAGTTGGGTAAAATCAGGGACAGGAACCATGGGTTGGGTTATTCTGGCACTGCAACATTTGTGGAGAGCTCAGCTAGCAGGGCCAGCCCTGTGTGGGGGTGTGAGCTGGGATTTGCAGCAATTTTTGGGGGGTTTGTCATCAGTGCTGTTTGGGTTTTTTTAGAGCCAGGATTAATAGAAACACGAGTGAGGTGATTCTCGTGTTTGGGCTTGGATTTATTATATTTATATATAATATAATATAATATAATATAATATAATATAATATAATATAATATAATATAATATAATATAATATAATATAATATAATATAAATAATAATTTATTATATTTCATTAGAAATTACAGAAAGTGTGACAGCACTTTTAGCTCCTTGCTAGAAGCAGGAAAAATGGCTCCAGCTGAGCCTGTTTTAAGACTTTTTAAAGCTAAACAAACTAATACAAGTTTAACACTTACATTATTTATTCTTTTGACTTAATAATAGATTTTCACCACTTTTAGAGTGACATTTGACTGATTAACTAAAGGCTACTACTTGAGTTTTGTGAAGAAGATAGAAGAAGATGAACAGAGAAAAAGACACCACCCAAAATTGTTTCTCTTGTTTCATAGCTACCAAATTTAAAACCCATCACCCATTGAAAACACACACATCTAACCCACTGCACATTTGTGATTTCTAGCTCATAATTCACATTTCCAAGCTTTTTCCAAGGTTTCAGGCCCAGAGCAGTGTTTTCCAGGGGGTCAGTGCCTGGGAGCACAGAAAAGCTCCAAAATTCCAGATTTATAGAATCCAACACCCTGCCATGCACTGCTGGCTGCCCACCTATGGAAACAGGAAAATTCCACAGAAATGTTTCAGTTCTTCACCTCAGGTTTTGTTCCTTGGCACTCTGCACACTGGAGGAGGGCTGTGCCCATGCCAAGGTGCCAGGAAGGAACAAGGAGCAGGAAATTGCTCCCAGAGGTTCTTGCTGGCTAAAGGTGCCCCCCAAAAAATCTTGATTTGAAGGCAAAACTCTGTAGTAATGCCACAGTCAGCCTGGGGAGGAATTCAGTTCACTGAGCCTGCAGGAAAGAGGTGGTTGCCATGAAAAAAAAAAAATAAAATAAAAAAAGAAAAAAAAGTTCATTTTTATTCCTCACAAATTTCATTGCTTTCTGAGGTTATAGGGGTCTTAATATTTGTCTGGCTTGAAAAATAACTCGAGTTTAATATGGGCTGTAGCTTTGCATGGGTCTGGTAACTTCTCTCTCAAGCAAAAAAATAAAATCATCTCTCTCTTGGTTAGGATCAATATAAAATAAGATTAATGCCCAGTAGGATCAGGTTATGAATTTTGAGCAAACCAGCATCTTTCTCTTACACTGCTTTAATTTATGAATGTTGTAGGTAATTACACTTACTAAAGTAAAATAAAAATTAAAATTTATGAATGTGTACTCTGCTCCCAGCAATAGAGAGATTAGAAATCAGTGTAAAATTTACTTGACATGAATACTGAATCAGTACTCCCAGTGGGGTGAATTCTGAATTATCCTGGATATTGTCAGCATTTCATTATACCAAGCTCACTGCAAGGCAGTGAGAGCAGATATCAGGAATGATTTCACAATCAGACTTTTATAAAAGCCCTTTAAAAAAAGGAAAGGAGAAAGAAAAGTCTATAAAAAAACCCCATTTTAATGTCAAACCTTGTGGACAGTGTAATGCAGAGCTTGTTTCAAAATGCTGCTGAGGAAAACATTACAGAAATGGTGGAATGTGGAATGGGAATTCTCCAGCATGCCAGGAAAGATCATCCAGATAAAGCAAAGAACTGCACTCTTGAGTACTGGGAATATCATTTCTCCCTCAGTAGAAATCTGAACACTAATTGCCTTCATTTCTTCATTTGAAAAAACAAAAGGACCCACAGATTTCTCATGTTTCTGTTCCTCAATGAGAGATTATAAACTGGCAGTATTTGGGATTTTCTGCAATAGTGCTGGTGGTGACTTCCACTTGGAACACTGGCATAAATCAGATAGAAAAAAAAAAAACCCTACAAATGCTCCAGGGCTCCTCATTTGGTGTTTGACAGGTTTTGTATCAACACCAGAGGCTGAAGAACCCATCCCTGGATGGATTCCCTCTTGCTCCAGCTGTGCTCAGTGCAGCTTTGTCCTGTACCTGCAGCTTAGTCCTGGCCTAAACTGGGCTGGGAACAGAGCAGGGCTCTGCCCAAAAATGCAGGACCTGAGCTGCAGTCCAGCTGCCCAAGCTGGGAAGATGGGAAGCAATTATTGAATGTGTATTCTATTGTCATTATTGAATGGGTATTCTATTATCATTATTGTGTGTGTATTCTATTGTCATTATTGTGTGTGTATTCTATTATCATTATTGAATGGGTATTCTATTGTCATTATTGAATGGGTATTCTATTGTCATTATTGAATGTGTATTCTATTATCATTTGAAGCTAAAATCACCAGGAACTTCAGAGAGAGGATCTAGCACTGAGTGTGGAAAACTGAAAATATACAGCTGAGTGTAGCTAACAGTAACTGGGTTTTGCTATGAAATACAAGCAACAGTGGACTCTTCAGTGTTTATCAAATTTCCCATGCTCTGTTCTTTTTTATTTCCTTCCTTTTATTTTTTTTCCCAATTGTACTCAACTTATTGCATAGAAAGAGCAAATATTTTAATAATAGTTGTGCCTGTAGCGTGTGTTTAAGGCTTCATTTTGCATATTCAATTAGAAATGTATTTTCCCTTTACTTTCTGTGTTTTGTTTTGTTAGAAGCTTATTTACATTTCTTACTTTCAAGGAAAAAAAAAAAAAAAAAAAACCTGGAAAAATCCCACAGAGAAATTCCTTCACTGGATACAAGCAGCACACTGTAAAAATTAATGAAAAGCAAAGGCACTGGTGGTGCTGGTAGGAAAAGGAAGGGAAGCACTGTGATCAGCTGGATTCTCATGATGTCATTGAACCTCTGAAATCTGGTGCTCTTGCTAAACCACACGTGGTGACTCACTGCAATTCACAGAATTAACAGAGCCCCACAAGTCAATCGTGCCCTTATGTTAAAACACAACTGCCCTTGTGTTACTCTGTGGGTAATAGTCCAGAATTTTACATTTCCTGTTGCAAATTCAAGGCAAAAGGACTCACAGCTTAAGGAAAGAAAATGGTAAAGTGGTTTTGCATTAAAAGAAAAAAATAAATTTAAAAATTGGAATTTAATTTCATGAGCTTGTTCTTACCCTGGAAAAAAACTCAGCATTGTCTGCTTCATGAAGTTTTCATCCCCTGTCCCTCCCTGTTCCTATTTGCCCACCACAAGAAATGAAATAAGCTACAGTCTTGCCAAGTGATTTGTCAAGATTCTTAATGGAGAATAACAAATGATGAACTGCTGCTCGGACTTCTAAGTCCCAGCTTAGTGATTTCTTCCTGAGATTTCAATTCTTCAAGAGTGTTTCAGGCCCTTCTCTAGTTAGGATGTGCTTAAAAATGTATTTTTGTGGTCTCTAAAGGGGAGAAGTTGGAGATGGATTCATATTCTGAAATTCCACTCCAAGCATCAACAGTTCAGTAGTGTTGGTGTCCAGGCTGCCTGGAAAAATGACATTGTGGCAGTTGTATGTGCACACTGTGTTATTTCTAATTGATTGCAGTTCCCTTCCTTGGGATAAATGACAATTGCAGTGTCACTGTCACTGTGTCTGCTCAGCAGTTATTTCAGTCTCTCTTTGCTCCAGAGGTTACACATTTGGTTTCTTCAGAAAAATCCAGCCAGTGTGTTTTATCCCCTGTGCCAGCCCCTCTGCTGAGGCACGGAGGAAGGGCTGAGCACAGGGAGCTGATTCCTGCCTGTAAGGACAAGGAATGGCTGAGAGCTGTGGGCAGGACAGGGCTGGAGTGAGGCAGGGAGTGCCCAGGGGGCTGCTGAGCCTAAAGGGACACCTGGGAACCCAGGGGACACTCCTGGCACCCCCTAAAAACCCTCCTGTGGCAGCGCAGGACTCTGTTCTTACATTCTCATCATCCCTCCCCGCTGCCTGTGCTGCTCAGGAGAAGTGTTTCCATGTAAAGAATGAATTTGCTCTGCATTTCTCGTGTTGCTGTGTTGTTGTCTGTGCTGCTGCAGTGGCTTCGGGGCTGGTGTGGCAGTGACAGGTCCCAGGGGGCAGGAAGGACAACAGGACATCTCTGCCTGAGGTCTCAAGCTCAGCTGCTGCTCTAAGGGGAGCTGGGAGAGCAGAGCCTTGCTCATGGGACATCCTTGTTGTGTTGTAAGCTCAGCAGGATTGAGTCCTTGCTTTTTCAGGTGAATCAGTGGTTGTAATACAGCTTTGGTCTGGATTAATTGAATTATTAAATCATTATCTGTATTAAATTAAATACAGGTTAAATCCCCCAGGCAGTGTCTGGGCTGTCCCTGGTGACCAGGTGGCTCAAGCCCAGCTCCTGAGCCCTGCTCAGGTGGAGCAGTGAAAAATGAGGAGCTCAGAGGGGCTCTGAGGACAGGCTGTGATCACCATTGCCTCATTTACAGCTTTTCTCTGCTGGGGTTCCCTGCTGCCTCTGCACGACAGGTGAAGCACATTTACTCACCCAGTTTAAAGCCACACCTTTTTTTTTTTTTTTTTTTTTTTTTTTGGTGGGAATTGTATCAGAATCTTAAAGTGTATCTGAATAGAAAAATCTATGAAAGCAATGGGTTGCATGAAAATCAGCCTGGAACACATAAAGTACAGGATGAGGAAGGGAGAATTTATATATGATGTTGTTTCTCTGACTTGTTTTGGAATTGGTGAGGAAATTTGCTCTTTTTTCCCTTTTTTCTTTCTTGTTCTTTCTCTTGGGAACTGGAAAAAAAAAAACAAAACAGTGTTTTTAACCAGACAGAACTGCAACAATAATGAATAGTGTCATCAGTGACTGCCAAAAAAAACACCCCAATTATTTGTCACTCAAGCATAAATTTCCTACTGAATTTCAGATTTATGGCAATTAGTAAACAGAAAATCTCACTGGCAGTTAAGAAACAGGAAAGAAATGAGCATTGCATGTCAGACCACTTGCTTCCATCACACTCCTTATCCATGTTTTCTAATTTCATCCTTGATCTAAGCACACAGCAGGTTTTTATATGTCAGCTAATGTGTACTTCAATATTTTGCACATCTACTTCCTCTGAGCTGTTAACTTAAAAAAAAATCAAACTGTCTGGACTTTTTTAGGTCCTCAGTCAGCTGGCCACAAGCCTGGAGTACAACTGGTCATATCCTACGAGAACACCTGTCTGACAATAATGCTGAAACACATGAGGAACCTCGTGAGTATTTTTTATCAGAATGTTGAACTCGTAAATCCTTGCATTTGCAGACTACTGTGAAAACATTAATCTCCAAACAGCCTTGCTGGGATAACTAATTTCAGCTCAAAGTAATGGTAGTGCTGTTGTGTCATGATTTAACAATTGGTTTTTCCCTTGGAGCTCGCTCAGTTTGATTACAGGTGTGAGGCAGATACAGAAACTGGGTCTCCTTAATGGCTGGTAATGGTCTATTCCAAGAAAACCAGTTTTGGTATTGTTTTGCCCCTCTCAGCTGACACATTCTGATAGCAGGCAGACACAAGGCATCGTGCAGCAGCATGACTTTGTTCAGCGTGTCAGCCTGGCACTGTGGATTGATTATCCCGACGTTCCCTTCTAGTCCAGCCAGTTTATGAAGAGGGAAGAGCTCAGCAGAGGGAGCAGTGCTGTATTTTAAGGAGCAGTGGCATTTGGAGGTGTGATGCTCAGCTCTCTAACACTCAGGAGGCTGTGAGGTAAATGTTGGGTGTTCCTGGAGCCAGGCTGCGGGAGGGGGAGCTGGCAGGGATCCCTGCAGCACAGGATCCCTGCAGGACAGGGTCCCTGCAGGACAGGATTCCTGCAGGACAGGGTCCCTGCAGCACAGGATCCCTGCAAGACAGGATCCCTGCAGCACTGGGTCCCTGCAGGATAGAATTCTTGCAGCACTGGATCCCTGCAGCACAGGGTCCCTGCGGCACTGGATTCCTGGAGGACAGGATTCTTGCAGCACTGGGTCCCTGAAGGATGAGATCCCTTCAGCACTGGGTCCCTGCAGCACTGGATTCCTGGAGGATAGAATTCTTACAGCACTGGGTCCCTGCAGCACTGGGTCCCTGCAGGATAGAATTCTTGCAGCACAGGATCCCTGCAGCACTGGGTCCCTGCAGCACTGGATTCCTGGAGGACAGGATTCTTGCAGCACTGGGTCCCTGCAGGATGGGATCCCTGCAGCACTGGGTCCCTGCAGGATGGGATCCCTGCTGTTGGAATTGGCTGAGGGTGACTTCAGACGTGGAGCTGGAGCTGTGTGTGAAGTGTGATGTGTCCCTGCAGGAACACGGCAGCTGCTCCGTGGTGAATCCCATGCCTGAATTCCCAAGGCTCAGGTCTCAAGCGATGCCTGTGGCAAGAGAGCCTTTATTTGTGTAGCTAGGGGATCTCAGAATAACGGGGTTAGAAGAGATCTCTAAAATCATCGAGTCCAACCCATGGCCTATCACCTCAGCTAGAGCAGGGGATTAGAGCATTTATTAACTATTAACTATTTATTAACTATTGTGGGTTCTCAGTGCATTCTCTGTGCCCCCTCCATCCCAAACTGGATTGCAATCCCTTTTCCTAAATGGGGCCAGACTGTGAGCACCAGGCAGTAATCAAATGAGGCTGATGGTTTAATTAGTGCTGTGAGACACACGAGGCTTACACTGCTCTGGCTTCTCATTTGCAATTCAAGCGTCTCCATCCTGGTCTATGACATTCAATACATCTCTGTCCTGAGACTTGTTTTCTGTGTCCTGTGTGCCACTTTGACAGGTGAGATCAGCCTCTGCTGACAGGTCCAATTTATACAGATTTTACCTTCAGGATGTAGCACAAGACCCTCTTTATTTTTTCTGTTGAGCTTTTTAAATCTAAGTGACTTTGATGAACTTTTATAAAGCTCTGATTGGTGGGAGGGGCATATTTAAGTGATTGCCATGCTGATGATGTCATTAAGACTTCAAGCAGGTCATGTGGAGATGCACACATCTGGAATTAGTCTTCTTTTCTCCTTGTTTCCATTATTTTCAGTGTGTAGGCTCCTACCTGTATTCTTAGGAAGTTCCAGCCATTTAATTAAATGAAAGTAAATTACAGCATAGATAGCTGTGTAGTGCAAACATAAAATCCAGGGTTCACTTCACTTCATCAGGGAAAGGGACAGAACAACTTGAAGTTACTGGGTTGCTTTTGAGAGTAGGGAACTTAAATCAAACCCATTTTAGTGAGTTTCCAGACAAGTGGTAGGAGTCCTGTTCAGCAAGACTAACAAGGATTCATGGCTTGAAAATAAGGTCATTGTTTTGGCAGCCTAACATAAGCAATCATGTTTTTAAATCCTGGGTTTCCAATTCCTTCCTTCCACCTGGCCATCCATCCTTTGTCATCTGATCTGAAATATGAAGTGGTGCTTCAGGGGACTGTGATGCTGGCCTGCCTTCAGAGCAGGAACCTATCACAGGAAGGTTCTTTATTCCATTAGTAATCTTCTCAGCTTCCTGGCCATATAAATCAATCTTTCTGATGTGCTCTCTTTTCTTTTTCCTTTCCTCTTCTTTTTTTTTTTTTTTGGTTGAGCTGAACAGGGATTTTAAAAGTATGCCAAGATCATATCTTATTCAAGACATGTTAAAGCTATTTCAGGTATATTCAGTCTTTTGCAGAGTCTCACTAATTATATTTTAGTGGTTCATCTGTGCTGAGATTACTTTGCTATCTTGTTTTATTTCATAATTTATAGTAAATAATTTTTGTTCTGCTCTTCCCTATTTAATTTATCTCTATAAAGAGATTTTATGATGTGTTCAGATGTGAAAATAATTGTAGTAGGCCAAATTAATCCCAAATGTAGCTTCACAGAACTGACAGGAATTGTGATAGAGACTTTTGATCCACATAAATAAATTTGATTTAGTGTTTGTGTGAGTTTATTTCTAGGAGTTTTAATAGGAGACCTAGATCCTGCTGTGCAGATCCTACATTGATATACAATGCACAAGAGACTCCCTAAGGAGCTGATATTTTTTACAGCCACTCTCAGGTGTCAGTGGCTCTTTAAAGGAGGAAGCCAGAAGGCTGCAGTGCTATAACTTTGCAGGGATTTTTTTCCCTGAAGGAAATTTACCCATTGACGTGGGGTGCTTTAGAGAAAATAAAAATGCTGTAGCAGTGGGGCAGACCCAGCAGGGCTGGTTAATGTGGGTGCATGCATGGACTCCCCTGTGGATCTGATGCATCCATCCCCACATGCCAGGTCTGCTGCAGATCCAGCTCTCAGCCCTGCATCAGCTGCAGAGCATCCCCTCCCTCCCTGCTGTGACTTCCCACTCGTGTGTCAAGAGAGACAGCCCTGCTTGAATTGAAGAAAACTCTATCAAAATTTCTGCAAAGACAAACAACAGAGAGCAGCCTTATGGATTTGGTGACTGGAAAGGACCATTAATCTAATCTAACCTTCTGCAAAGAAAAAGCTGTATATTTGAACCAAGGAAATACTTGCAGTCAAGGAAACTGTTTGAACACAGAGATGTTAAGACTGGTTGGTAATGTTTGCCTACTTTTTAAGGCTGTGGGTGCACAATGAAGACAAGTTCTGTTAAACAGATATTTATACTAAAAATGTTTCACTCTCAAGATTTCCCTCAGCAATTCATAGTTGCATTTGAATCCTGAGATTCTCTAAGTCAGGTGGCTCAGTGCTTCTACTTACAATTTGAATGGCATCACCATGATTGCTGAGGAAAATAACTTTAAATTCCATTTTCAAATATAGAAAAGCCATGATGCCAATAAAATGCAATTTTCCAAACATGTATATTACATAACTTGAAGTCAGCTTATTGGCTTGCTCCTCCCAAATGCTGTAGACAGTGCCACACTGGACACTTTATGCTTAGGGACTGCCAGCAATATTGCCTTCATAAAGTGAGGCTGGGCTAGAAGGAAACATTTGTGGAGGGGTGAAAACCTCAGGGGCCTGGAGGGTTTGTCTGGAGTCATGGGGGATGTGGCAGGTGAGGGTGAGACAGGGCAGCCTCATTCTATAAAGACAATAGCCCAGTACCTGGCAAAGTGCACTGAGTGGCCTTAGGAGGAATACAAAGGAGCCCCAGGGGAGCTTTGTTCTGGCCTCTGAGAGGATTTGTTAGCTCAGAACAAGAATAGTCCAAGTGTGGCAGCACAATGGCCAAACAAACAGCACTGGGCAGGAGCAGGAGCACAGGGGGAATGCTGCTCTACACATGTGGAGATGGGTTTATGAAAATTGAAATACGTGTAGGTTTTGAACTTGAAATGTTCAAGTGCAGTTCTGTTGACCTTCATTAAGCAGCACAGAGAATGGGAGATGTCCAGAGCCCAGCAGGTGTCACACAGGGCTGGTTTAGTCCCACACAGCCAGAAACTGCCAGGCTTCCTGCTGGTGGCCTTGCTCACTCCTCAAAAAAACCACCAGAGGCAACAGGAATAGCCATTGCTGGCATCCACACAAGGGTTTCTAACTTATTTCCTTGCCTGTTTCGTGGAGAAGCAGAGGGAGCAGTGGTTCAGCACTGGCTCAGGGGGAGGCTGCTCCTGCCACTGCTCCCATTGCCACGGCTTGAGGCAATGAGATAAGCAGCTAAACTTTCAATCCTCACTGCCAAACATTTTTTGCCCATTACTTCTTGTGGACAGAGGAACTCCTCAGGGGTAGAGGGGAGGAGAAACAAAGCCAAGTTGTCCTGAACCTCGTGCCAGTCAATGTAAAATGTTGCAGGAATTCAGGAAAGCGTGCGTGGGTGATGAATTCGGAACCAATTTTACAGGGGGAAGAAATTTGCTGGGAGAAAAATAAACTCCTACGGTTCTTTGCAAAAGTTCTTCCAGCTTTTCTTTTATAAAAGCTCTGAAGCTGTCATGTAGCACTCCTGGTGATTAATGATTCTGGGATAGCTGATATGTGGGTGATGAATTAGTAATCAGCTTTAGGCTCACACAGACATCCAGCCCCTTTCCATTTCATGTCCCGTGCCATGTGAGTACAAATTGCTTCCAAAAATGTTTGTGAGATGAGATGGTTTAAATGTGTTGGGAAGAAAGGTGGGAGCCAATCCTCCCCAAATCCAAAGGGATGGAGTCTAAGCCTGCAGCACAGGTGGATGCTCTGCTGCCTTGGCTGGGTTTTCTCTCAACTTCAGCTGGGGAAGGGTTGGGGATCTTTGTTCAGTCTGACTTGG